TCGGTGTATCTATATTTTGAGTTTTCACAGTTAGGATAAAACTCTGAGAACTTTATTTAATAATGGGTTAGAACTCACTCTCAAGTCTCGCCTTATAATGTGGTTTTATATTGTCTATCTTATTTTATTATGTTGTGGCTTTCTGGTGGAAGATGGATACTACATAAATGTATAATGAGAGGATATGAAATTTGATGTAGAAATGGGGTGCTACTTTGTGTTTTATGTGGAGATTATGATGGGGTTTGGGTGAAAGTGATAGGAATTGGGTAGTGACATATTTGACTCTCTCATATAGTGATGGTGCAAGATCTGTACTTACTCTCGGATTTAGGGGACTGACCCTCTTGCCTCGGGTTTGTTTACGTTTTTTTGTAGGACTCTCCAAATCTTCCAATTTTTCAAAAACAGATAATGGTATTTTATCTACCTCTGCATTCAAGACTTTATGCAAACTAAGGGTTGCTCCATCTTATGGATATACAATAATAAGTTTTTTTGTAGGACTCTCCCAAATCATTTTCAAAACAAAATATTATTACTTGCTAAACTTATGAATACTAAGTCACTTCTAATTCATAATATGATTGCATGATTTATATGTAGGTTAGGATGGTGCCTCTGGCACCGAATGTGGCATCCACCGTCGGGTCTTTCGGGATCGGGCGGCGGGTGTTACAAGGAGGCTATTTTGATAAGCCTTTAGAATAAATTATGAATAAATATAAGGAAAGAGGACAACCTTACCTTAAATCCCTAGTTAACACAATTGAACCAAGCTCCATTCCTCCTTGAAGAATATAATATTTAATCGAATGGAGACACATCAGAATTAAATTAATCCATCAATTATGAAAATTTATATGCTCCACCCCAGAATCCCTTTGAGATGCAATCATTCAATCCAATCATAAGCCTTAGACATGTCAATTTAAAGAGCCACCTTACAACAAATGCCTAATCTTTGATGCACAGATGTACAACCTCATGCACCATCATAATAGTATCAAAAATCAAGCATCCTGAGAAAAAAAAACCATTGGAGAAATAATTGAAGACAATACCCCTATCAGATGATTTGCGAGAACTTTGGAAATCATCTTGTATAATACAATATAAAGAAAAATAGATCAAAACTCAATCATGTTCTTTAGGTCATTTTTTGGAATCAAGACTATATGGGCGTTGCTTAGTGCAAGAGGGTACTACCATTATTAAGATAATTTAAGCAAGCATTCGTAATATTCTGGCTGATCTCATTCCAGAAATTCTGAAAAAATGTGAAATTTGTCCCTTCTAGACCAAGCGACTTATCAGATTTCATTAAGAATACTGCACATTTAATCTTTGTAGAAGTGAACTTGTCATAAGACTTTGATTCTATTCCTCGATTACAACTCATCCACATAGCATAGAATATTATCAGTGTCACTTCCATAAGAGCAAAAAACGTTATGAATGTATGAAATAATGGTCTCCAATAATCCTAAACCATTTTCATCTTTAAGTCACGTAAAGTGATTTCCTTTTTCGTTGAATCGGCACTTATGCATAAAAGTATTTAGAGTTAGAGTCTTCGTCTCTCAGCCAAAACTGCTTTGTCCTTTATTTTTAGTAAGTTCTAGTTCCTCCAGAGATGCCTTATGCTGTTTTCTAACCTCCTTAAATGTGATTTAAAAAGATTATCATGTTCATAATAAAAGTATTGAAGTTGGTTTTTATATCTTACTATATCTGTCTTCGTAGACCTAACAAAATCACTGTCCCAAGCCATGAGAGCTTCCACACAAACTAATATCCTCTCCATCACAGTAGCATTAGAAATACAACATAATTAAAGATGAAAACTAATATATTCACAACATGAGCCCAGTAAAAAATCCATCCAGTTAGTTGTAGCTATTAACTAATACACAATTCAATCTCTCCACCATCCAGTCACTAGTTCCTATGCTCCTCTTCCATATAAAAGGGTGTCATCATTCTCAAGTCAATAAATTGAATTCCTCAACAGTATCCCAAAGATTCTCTGTTAACTATTGTAGTTGGAGAACTCGATCGATTTTCATAGATGAATGAAGAAGATCGTTAAAATCACTTAAACAACACCATGGTAGTAAAGATTTTTACTTAAGCATTTTGAGTAGATTCGAAGATTCTTTACAAAGAGATAAAAACTAACTAGACAATATGAGAACATTTCAGAAACAGTGACCGGAAAATATGATACTACGAAAAAACTAATTACTTGATAGTATTTTTCACTCTTCACAAAAGAGTTAAGCCATTGATACTTGGAAAAAAAAAAGGAAAATAATGGATCGGAAAAGTGAGTGATACAAAAAATTTGTGGTTTTTAATATCTTTCATGAGAAAGAAAAGGAAAAAAATAGGGTTTGGATTTCAGAAGAAAGAGAGATGAAGGCGAAGTTATTAATTGTGAAGAAGGATTTTATCATCAATGGTCAATATGGTCATCTCCTTTGCCAGTGACAAAAAATTATGGTAATTTTGGATGAAGGGAGGCCATTATGTGACAAAATGAAAATTTAAGGGGGTGTGGATTAGTTTTTGAACATAGAAGTAGGCATGACCATTTTCCAATTTTCAGAACCGGAACTGTCGGTTCAGAACTGGTGGAAACCAGAACCGTGAACCATCGATTCTAAAAACCGGCCGGAACCGGACAAAACCAGTGATTTTTCTAACCGGTTAGACCTGGCGGTTCCACCGATTCAAACCGGGAATTCCAACAGAATGTTTTTTACTTTTTCAAAATTTATTTGTGAAATCTCCAAATTAACCATTATAACAGTTATATAACGGTTAATTTTAAGGGTATTTGAAGAAAGTTGATTTTTTACATTTGCTATAAATTTCCATTATTTTCATTTATTCATACACAAAATTATTTCTCTCTGCTACTTTCTACTCTTCAATCTCTCTATCCTCTCTCATTTATTATTGTCTAAATTATTGTCAAATAATATCTTCAAAGTTCAAGCCCTTTTTTTTTTTAAAAAAAAAGTTCAAGCTTTTTTTAAATTTTTTTTCTTGAAGTTTTTTTTTTAAAATTATTTCATAAATATACGATTCTAAAAACGCCGGAACGGAACTGCAGGACAACAGTAGACCGGCGCCACCGATTCAAAACCGGGGATTCCAACAGAATGTTTTTACTTTCAAAATTTATTGTGAAATCTTCCAAATTAAACCATAATAACGTATATAACGGTTAATTTTAAGTGCGTATTTGAAGAAAGTTGATTTTACATGCTATTTAAATTTCCCAAAATACATATCAAAACACAATTATTTCCCTATGGCTAACGGTTTCTACTCTATCATTATCTCTCTATCCTCTTCTCACTTTTATTATGCAATATGTCAAATTAATATCTTCTAAGTTAGCAAGCCGCTTTTTTTTTTAAAACAAAAAAGTTTTCAAGCTTTATTATTAATTTTTTTCTTTGAAGTTTTTTGTTTAAAATATTCATAAAATACGTTCAAGCCCTTTTTTTTTTTAAAAAAAAAGTTCAAGCTTTTTTTAAATTTTTTTTCTTGAAGTTTTTTTTTTAAAATTATTTCATAAATATGTAAATTTTAAATTTTCAATGAAAAATATTTTCTAATTTTTTATTTTATAATTATACGATTTGCCAGAAAATCGATTGGAGAACTGGCTGAAACCGTCGATTTTAAAACCATAACTAGAACCATCAGTCGGTTTGGCTCCAGTTCTGAAACCGTGGCCAGCCCTACATCGAAGTAGGTATGTGTTAATTTCATTATGGAAAGTGGTTTTTTCCCTATATATTGTGTTAGCGACAGATTGACCGAGTTTGAACTTTAAAAGATGCATTTAAGTTTGTCCTATAAAATCAATAACTATGGTTCAAGCTAAATTAGAATCTAAAGGTTAAAAAAAAAAATGATATCCAAGCAAGTTAAATTAATGAGATAGATAGAGTATATCGGGTGAATGCTTGAACATGTACATCGATCAATTTTAAATTTAAAAAGTAATGAAAATAACATATATTTATAATATTACAAATTTTAAAAATATATAAATTAAATTAAAATATAATTTAATAATATTAATGAAATTTTCAAGGTGCTCAATCAACAACTGTTACCAATAATTTGTTTCTTCAAAAAATGAAATTTTTTTTCATTAAATACAAACAATATCTTATTAAATTAAACTCAAAAATTGTCATGCTTCGAAGCAAATTATGTAATTTCCCAGCAATATATATTGAAATTTTAAGTATCCATCAAGCAAGTAAATATCACTATCCGTTCTATAATACTTGTCGCGTTTCAGAAAATAGTTTGTTTCAAAATACATATCTTTCAAGGAATAATAAATATTTTTTTTCATAGTTGTTTTTTATATATGACCGATAATTATTACTTCAATTTAATGATTTTTTTAGAAAATTAAGTGTTTTTTATATGGCACATTGGACTCCGATAAAAACTCTCCTATTTACTTCAATTTAATGATTTTTTTAGAAAATTTAAAATTAAATTTGATGGTAAATATCCAAATTACTTCAATAATTTTATTATACTTAATTCAAGGAATAATAAATATTTTTTTTCATAGTTGTTTTTTATATATGACCGATAATTATTACTTCAATTTAATGATTTTTTTAGAAAATTAAAATTAAATTGATGGTAATATAGTCAATTTATTCAATAATTTATTATACTTTAAATAAATTTAATAATTTTAAAAAAAAATGTGAAATTTCAAATGTGTTAAATAGATTATGAGATAGAGGTACGGTTAAATTATTAAAGATAAAATAAAATAAATTTCTTCCCTATCCTATCCCGTCTTATCCCGTGAGTTCGAAACTGTCCGCACGTGTGGAGTGGAATGTAACAAATAAAGAGCAATAAATCTAATCACCGTCCCAACCGAACCGGATAAAAAGATCGCTACACCACCTTCCTTGAATCCAAAATTTTTTAAAAAATTATATAAATATCAAAAACAAAAACAAATAAAAAACCCATGTTGAAAAACGTCAAAACAAAAATACCCAAAAAAAGAGAAGTCGAGATTGATAGAGATTGTGAATTCGTTTGTTGTTCCATTCCCATCAATCCTGTACGAAATAATAGTCCCTTAATTCACAATCTCCTTACCAAACCAACCCTTCATTTCTTGACCCTTTAACCCCAACTTCAATTCAATTCAATTCAATTCAATAACCCACAAGACAAGATCTTGCCATGATGTGAGATTGTGGTATTGTTTATCTGGAATTTTTATTCAGGAAAGCGAAAAGAGGAATAATATAATGTTAGGAGGTGTTCAATTGGGTGTATTGGCTGCTTGTGTTGTTCTTTTTGTACCTATGGGTATGGCTGGCTGGCATTTGAGCAGGAACAAGATGCTTTTTTTTAGTGGTGCCCTTTTTATTACTCTTGCGGTAGGCGTTCATTTAACTCCTTATTTCCCTTCCATTTCTGATTTTGTTACTTCCGTTCAATCTGTTGTTGTATTTGATAATCGTGAGGATTCTTGTATTAATTTGGTTAATGAAGTTGTTTGGGATGTTAAACGTAGCCATGCTGATACTAAAAGCAATAGTCTTGTTCAATATAGTAATAATGATAGTGAAAATGATTCTATGAGTTATGATAAGATTTGGGATTGGGCTAAAACAGGAAAAGTCAAGGCTTGTGAGTTTCAAAGACTGGACAGGTTTGATACTTCAGATTTGCTTAATGGGTCTTGGGTTGTGGTAGCTGGGGATTCACAAGCTAGGTTAATTGTTCAATCTTTGTTGAATTTGATTTTAGATTCAAAACGAATGGAATCCATTGAAGGTGATTTGTTTAAAAGGCATAGTGATTATGAGATTGTTATAGAAGAAATTGGTATGAAGTTGGATTTTATTTGGGCTCCTTATGTGGTTAATTTAACAGATTTTATGACCAGTCTTAAGCAGAATAGAAGTTATCCTGATGTTTTGGTAATGGGAGCAGGATTATGGCATATGCTGCATGTTAATAATGCTTCTGATTATGGCATTGATTTGGAATTGCTGAGGAGTTCTGTGGTGTCTCTGTTACCATTTTCGCCGGAGTTGGGCACAGATGGCCCTGTTACTGGTTCTGTATCTGTTAGATCGCCACATTTGTTTTGGCTTGGCATGCCAATGTTGATTAATGGCATGTTAAATTCAGAGGAAAAGAGGGAGAAGATGAGTGATGAAATGTGGCATGCTTACGACAGAGAGCTGCGGAATAGTAGGCTCTTGCGTAGTTATGGTGGGCCACTTTTATTACTGGACATACAATCAATGAGTTGGAATTGTGGCCCTCGGTGCACTGCTGATGGGATGCATTATGATGCAGCTGTTTATGAAGCTGCTGTTCATATTTTGCTAAATGCTTTGCTTATTGAATCTCATCAAAAACTTGGAGCTACGTAGTTTGGACTTCTATTAGATTGCATGACTATCATTTTGAAGACAAGAAAGTTACATCAAACCATCTTAGAGCTTTTGACTCACACAACATGCGAAGTTTTGTCATGTTGCAACTTTGATATTTCCAGGTTTTTCCCTTTTGCCATCACATTAACTGAGGAGTAAATTTTTGTATCAGTATCTACATATTGAAATTCATTGTTTCTTGTTTATTTTCATATGAATGAATGTTGAATACTCACAATACTTGTATTAAATGATAAAAATCAATAACAAAGATTTGTACCAATAGTAAATAGATGTACTTTTGGCAGTCTAAGCATCCAATGAAATTCTTTTCATGGAAGTTCTCTTTTGCTTTCTGGTTGTTTCTCATAGATATTGGTTTGCAGATTTTTTTTCGAAATTTAAAAACTATGCTTGTAAATATGTTCCTTTTTAACTATTATGCTATCCTGCTTATGTTTATTTACTTATGTGTTTTGGGGACAATCTTTCTGCTAATTCATAAATGCTATTATATTGCAATTCTGGTGTGAAGTTAATATCATTTCAAAATTGGAACAAGGAGAAATTAGTTACTTTCTGTTTGCAAGGATGTATTCCAACTCTCATATGTAACTAATGTTTTTATGTTTTACACTAGCATTAAAAGACAATGAATGATTGTCCTTGTTATGCATGCTCGTTTGTTCAATTGTCTTCTCTAATTCTAGCTGCAACATTTGATTGAGCCATTTATTTTTGCACATTAGTCACTTGTCATAGTGACAGTGGACCTTTCCATAATTGTTTATGAATGCATCTCCTTGAACTTTCCAGTATAGGAGCTGACTTGAACCACTTCACCAACTAAATTGCTAAATATTTCACATGAAACACATGAGGTGCATTTATATTTAGTGATAATTCTAGCTTTTCCGGTTGATTATATATGTTATTGAAAGGCCAAATACTTGTTCAATGTACCTTTTCTTGTTGCTTTGCTAAATCAACAATTCATGCGTTAAAATTTTCCAATTTGGGGGATGTTCTATTTGGCTTTATTGTTAAAGCTTAAAAGGATAGGTTTCCTAGTGATGTGTGCTAGTTTTCCAAGTATCTCGAGGTTGTTTTGCAACTATAAAATATATGCAGTTATACACATTTTTTGGTAATAGCATTAATATTTGTTGTTTTCTTGTGTTTTGATGAAGCAAAAACTTCCATGATTGCAAATAATGAAGGAGGCTTTGTAATAATAATATCACTAAGGGTCTGTTTTGCATGATAATTATAGCTGCTGTTGACAAAAACACCATCTTGAATATTTTATTTTAGAAATAATTAAATACCTTTTGGATTTTTTTTTTTCTAGATAGATTTGACTTGATTTGGTTATAACCCAAATAAACCAGAATGCAACTACAAACTGCTTTTTGTAGCAATCTTTACAGGGTGCTTGTTGAAAAAACAATGTCAACTGCAATGCAAAACATCTATTTAGGGTTGGAATTAGATAAACATATGAGACCTGATGAAAGAGGTTCTTACTTTATCCTCTATCAATGACTATCACCCTCAAGCCCTCAAATAAGTGTGAATTTGCCCTAACCAGATATAAGAAGGTATCAATAGATGAATGGGAGGGAGAAAGATCTGTGGATCTAACTCCATTGGTTTTTTGAAGGAGTAGAAAGTTCTCAGTGCATCTGTGTTTGGGGTTTCCAGTTTCTTTAATTATTCTCTTTACTGCACGCCGTAGGTTTTTTCTAGAAGTAGAACAAAGTTGCATGCAATAGCATTGTTTCAGTTTGCAGGGCAGTGTGCATTTACTTCCATGTTTGGAAGATAGCAAGGTACGTATAGGTTTGTGGATGCCGGATGCCTGAATGTTCAACCAACGTGATTGAAGGTAGTATTAAGTATTTCCAAGGCAAGTGTATTACTATTTTGAACATGTGAAGATATTTGTGAGAATCTGAAAGTATTTTGTCTGAGAATCTTCTTACTAATGCGCTCAAAATTATGTGCTACTAGATGTTTTGTTATATTTTCAAGTGGGTAGTTTCTTGTATCAAGTCTTGACCTCTTGGATCAAGTGTTTGATAATGAATTCTATAGTCATTTTTTCATTTGAAAATATAACAAACCTAATCTAACAAATATTGTTAGATTTGAAAGAATTGAGCCATATACACACAGAAATAGGCAAGTATTTCCCAAACTGGGGTAAATACATATGGCTAAAGTTCAGCCTGGAACTGGAACTGAAATTGGTCTGTATCAGAATCAAAGTGGAACCGTTGATGCTGGGAAACAGTTAAAAAATAACAAGAACTTTTGCCCTTCAAAATCAGTCTGAACCAGTCAGAACCAGAACTAGTCACCGGTTGACTCAGTTTTGATTTCCTAGTTGGAAAACTATGGTTCTTGTTTTGGTTCCCGGTCTGTATTGGAACCTTGGCAACCTTTGGTGAATGGTTATTGCATGTGGTTGAAACTCTGGAAAAATTATTGTTTGTTGCTCGTTCCCAACATAGCTTGGGAGTAGTAGTGCTTTTGTTTTCAATAGTTGTATATTATTTGTGACAATGATCGGAGCTTCTCAGTTCCCAACTGGTTTTACGTGACTTGGCTTGTACTACGGTACAATCCTCTTTGTTGTGGGGCTCGGTCTGTACTCTAACATGTTCATGAGCATTTGTTTCTGATATTAGTTTCCCAATATTACTACCAATGTATTTAGAAATTGTAACTTAATTTGATCAATTTCCATGTTTGGAAATGTTTTTAATGATATGATTCAATTTTGCAACAAAAGAAGATCAATTGGTAAGTGGGGTAATCTTGCAAAAATCAAGTTGACGTGATATAACCATTGTCAAAAAGAGGTTTAGACATAAACAAGCATGGTATAAATTGATCCACTAAGGTTGGGAGTAAACAAAGTTTGTGAAGTTTTTTCAACCACAAAATTTTCTCGATGAGCTAAGAAAAAAGTTTCTTTCTGTTGGATAACTCACAATGTTTTTCCAGCATATTCAACTTCCCAATGAATTAAAAAAATCAAAAAGAAAAAATGCAATAAAAGGTTGAGACATTCCACATCTTCATACCCAAACAAGTAGAAGGTTTGATCATTTTACATATTTGGTTTTACCTTGCAACAACATTGCTTTATACATTTTTTTTTCTTTTTATCTTTTTCCTTCTGCAATCCTAGCTACAATCCTTTTAAGTCCCATGGTAAATTGAAAAGCCAATAAAAATTAAGGAGGCCAAAAAGAGGAAAAAAGAATGCTCTCTTGTCTATATATTTATCTTCTAGCTACCCCACTTAAGTCTCAAATTGCTTGCCTTCAAAAGTTTGCCCAAAGTTCCAATCTTTAGGAGCAACATTGTAAGAGGTAATTGTGAGGCCATCACTACTTGTGACCTCAAATGAGAGAGGTTGATTCTTTAAATCAGCATTAATATGCCAATTCTGGCCCCAATTCCTACCCATTTGAAGCCAACCTGTTCTTGAACCTTTAATCTTCACCGCAGTTACATCACCAGCGCCTGCCACATTGCTGATCAACACTGAAATGAAGTTACCAGATCCTGATACAGTAAATCGCATTCCTCCTTCCTTTCTGCATTTTATCCTGTACAAATAAATGAAATATATATCCCTTATTTGATGTAAATGAATTTGTAGAGTTTGATTTAGTTCTGTTGAATTCTATAAAATTACGTTCACTGGATTTTGTTTTTCCTTTGATCTGAGCAAAGGTTCACCAGAATTAATCATCACACCAAACATAAATACAAAAACTCTAAACAAGATTTATTGCCTCCGCTTATGAGTCCTTGTCAAATTTGAAATTTCACATTTCTTAGAAATATCACTAAATTTATCTAAGTTATAACAAATTATTGAGTACATTGACTATATTATCCTTAATTTAATATATCCAAACACCAAATTTCAAGAAATTGAAGCAATAATTGTTAGTTATATACAAAGAGTAAACATGAAAAAAATACTATGTCTCGAAATTACAAATGTGATAAATTTTTTGGACATAATTTTTTTTCAATTATGACAAGTATTTAAGAACAGGAATAATATATCAAATGAGACCTTAAAGCATAAAGGCAGTAAGGTTGATGAAACATCACCTCAGAACGAAAGAAACTGCCAGAATACTCTCAAAAACACACACAGACACGTATGTAAGAGTACACACGTGTTACACATAAAAAATCTATCTATAAATAGTTCTCCTAATCATTAGATTTAGACCAATTGATGTATGTGGAAAGTGCCAGACCTACAAACGTTAAGTATAAGTCTTGACCTAGCAAATGACGTGTTCCTCAAACTAGAGTAGTTAGCAAATGTAACGTAAGGATTGGTTTCTTCTCTTTTTTCTTATTGCGTGAAATCTTAAAATAGAATGTCCCAAGTTGCAAAAAACAGTAATATACTATGGAAAAGCAATCAAGGCCCTAAATATGTGGAAGTCTAGTGTCCATAAAATGCTTTATACTATGTCATAAGCAAGGACAAGAAAAAAAATTACAGGAGAATAATCAAGATTCACATGTAACGCTTAACAGAGACTATATAATTGAACCAGTTGAAAAAATCAATATGCTCAAGGTAAAAGGGAATTTGAGGGGAAAAAAACGAAAACAAATTTCATTATTTGGGTAATAAAAAAGACATGATTATGGTTCACAAGTCAGTGATCCCAAAAATAGGAGAAGAGCTACAATCTTATTGAATCCATTATCTTTTTTTGGTCCCTAAGTTTATTCACAGGTGAACTTAGCAATTAGGTTTTAGACTCCTTGGTTACTTCTACAAGTTACGTCAATAAAAGCAACTCAAGAAGTATGATGTTGAAAATGATTTGTGTTGGACCACCCAAAAATTATTAGATGCTAATAATTGAGAGCTACAGGATCGTAAAACAAAAGAAACATTTTAATATAGGCCTAAACATTTTTATTATGCTAATCTTCTTCAATTTCATCCTAACTCAGACCTAGTAACATAGGAACCACGGTTTGCAACTTTAGTATTAAAACTAATTGCACACCTAAAGTAAAATAGGGTTAGGGTTAACTTTAAAGTATTATAATATGAACTCAAAACTGTATTGGATTAATTGCAACTAACCGAAAAGTTCAGATGATTTGGCAAGCCTTTTACTATATGGACAGAAAATAACTTCTACCACCTATGGATGCTAAATTAAGGTTATTTCCTTACAAATTAAATATTTTCAAAACTTCCTGAAAATATATATTCTATAAACACTTCAAAATCCTTTTGGATTACTTTAATACTTATTATTTAAATTGAACTAAAAATATTCTAAATTAAAAAAAAAAAAAAAGAAAGAAAAACATTTGAAAATTCTTTTAACTTGACCCAGGTCTCTTCTGGACATGAAGAGGCGCCTCCGCCTAGCTTACCAATTAAGAAATGGTGTTCAGGGTTTAAAATCTAAATAAATAATTATTAGGAGTGAAAATAACATAACAATATTTTAACTAATCGAAAGCTGAACAGCTAATGCGATGTAATTATATTCTTTATAAGCAAGACCTTGTCCTTATCTTGCATAGTCCATTACAATCAAAATTATATTCTTTTCCCATTCTTTTGATGCAGGATTGGGACAGCCCTTTAAGGCTGTCTCCCACTTTTTTTTTTTAACTTACCAAAAGATGAAAATAAGCTTTGCATTAAGACAGAAATTCAAAGAAAAACATGTTAAACAACAGAGGCACGCACGTGCCACAGGCGTAAGTTAGCAGGCGTACAAAGAGAACAAAGTATTTAGTCAGTCCACAGTCAGAGATTTTTCAACCGTGGGATCCAAATCTTTCGTCTGATCCCACGGTTCATTTTAAATTCTTAGCTTAGTTATGGTAATTACTAATTACTAATTAGTAAGATAATTTAAATTTAAAAAGCTTAATAGGAATTTACCTCCGGTACTGTACAGGCATGTTACCAGCTTTCCAGATAGCGATCTTCTCGTACGACTCAATCGGAAGCACGAAGTGTTTGTTCGGAGGGTTACAGTGTCCTCCGCCATCAGCGGTGAATCCATAATTTGGAGCACAGAAATTAGTAACTGTAACAATGACAGAAGTACCAGGGATGCACCACCGTAAGTCCTCCACGCACCGCAACTCGAAACACGCGCCGCAGATCTGGCCGCGCTCGAACATAGCCTCACTCAGACCCACTGTCGCCAATCCATAACCTGATTTTCCCAAGTCTCCGTAACCGCACGCACCGCCGACAGAGTCGCGCGGGTCGGAGGCTGCGTAATAGGTTGCATGTGCAGATCGCCACTCGGAGAGAGAAGTGGAGTGCGGCCGAGGAGGGGAGGTGGAGGAAGAGGTGTGAGAAGTGACTGGTAGTGAAAATGTGAAGAAAAGAAAGGAGAAGAGAGGTAGTGCTAGAGTCTGAATACGGTTTAGAGGTGGCGGTGCGGGTGGCGGTAGCGATGGTGACATTTCTTTTGTCGATAACTTGATTGTTAGGGACTATGAGGAGAGCGGGGATACTGATGTTTCTGAGCGGTGACGTTTTAAGCGTTTTCTTTTTCTGACTTTCTTTTTAAAAATTTATGTTTTTTTCTTAAATTTTTTTTTTTTTTTTTTTTTTTTCCCGAGGAGGGGAGGTGGCAGGAAGAGGGTGCGTGAGAAGTTGACTGGTAGTGAACAACTGTGAGAAAAGAAAGGAGAAGAGAGCGTACGTGCTAGAGGTCGAATACCGGTCCTCAGAGGTGGCGGCTGCCGGGGTGGCGGTAGCGACTGGTCGCACATTTCCTCTCTTCCTTGCTCCGCATACCCTCTGAACTTGTTAGGCCCGAATATGCAGTGAGAGCGGGGATACCTGATTGTTCTCTGGCAGCGTGACGTTTTACGCGTTTTCTTTTTCTCGACTTTCTTTTTTAACAAATTCTATGTTATTTTTCTTAAATTTTTTTTTTTCTTCTTTCTCTTCTCCCTCTTTTTACCGGCTCCTTAGTCTGATCGTGGAATAAGATGAACGCCAAATTTGACAAAAAGACGATGATTAGTTTTGACCTTCTTTTTTTTTGCCCTTTTAAACTTCCTATGGAGGAGACGATTATTGGTTCGGCTAGAGTTAATAATGAGATTCTTGGTGTTAAAGCTCCTATTTTTTTTTTTTTTTTTTTTTTTTACCGTTAGTTGATGTGAATAAGATGAACGCAAATTGAAAAGAAGATGATTAGTTTTGACTTTTTTTTCCTTCTACTCTCCTTGGAGAATGATTATTGTGGCTAGAGTTAATAATGAGATTTTGTGTAGAAGCATCCTACTCACGGAATTGTTAACTAGGGTTTTAATTTTGATTAATTAAAAACCCTAATTAACCTAAGTTGGCCTAACCCTAATTGAACGGAGACTAATACAAGTAATGGAGTTGATAGAATGTTGATTATGAGAAAAATGGGAAATTGAGCGCAAACGCCTTAAGTTGGCCTAACAATGTTTGGATTTTCCAAACATGGAGATTTTGTGTCTTTTACTTAATTTTGTTTCAATGATTAAGGAATTTAAAGTGTAGTAAGATGTGAAATTTTGGTAATTAACCAGTTTTTGCTTTAAAAGTTGAAATTAAATTTATAATAATTTGGAAGTCATAGTTTATGAAAAAAGTTAATATTTTTTTTAATTAAAGAATATGGTTTGGAAAAGCATGATTTTTATTGGGTCTTTTCTTAAAAAGACAAATTTGGTTATTTACAAATTACCTAAGTCAATTTGACATTTCTTGGTATTTTGTGAGGATAATTATGCACAATAATGAGTTGAAGGTAATGTGACAAAGTAGGTGAAATTGGATTATGCATGACTATGCTTTTATGAGAATGTATATAACTTAAAAACATGTGTATGTAAGTACATATATGTGAGTCATAATATAACAAATATGCTAAAGTTATGAATAAGAAAAATAAATGACTCAAAAAGGAATAAATGAGTTTTGTTAATTTAAATGTGTTAAATTGAAAATATGTACTTTTATAAGTTTCATATGTTTTAGCTTGATGAAATTGCTATGACCTTAGAGAGTTACATGTCTATTCTTAATAAATAATAAATTGCTTTAAATCTTTATATGTCAAACTTGAGGAATTATATGAAATGTGGCTCATTAGGATTTATTATGATTATGAGTAGAAATTGATTTCCATGAGAATATGAAATTTTAGTAATTTAAGGCACTTCATTAATCCTTATATGCCAAGTATAATGAATGCATATATTATGATTTAACGTGAATTACTATAATTATGGAAAGGTAATTGATACTTTAAGTGAAATTAAGTTAATTACATCATTGTTGGTTTGCGATAATAGTTAATGGAATTCATGGTGATAAAAGAGCATGTATAAATGGTTTTGTATATTCTATATGATTACATGTATATGCTACATGTAAAAGACGCTATGAATTATTAAAAGTATTATGTGGCCTTTATAAGATTAATAGAAGTCGGGATAGAATAAGAGTATAGCATGTCTAGTATACTGTTTAACAGTACTATGATCATATGAGATTTTGGGATATATTGAGATATCTTAGTGTTTGACGCACTACCAATATGGGTTTCAAGCCCAGTATAGCTTTCGAGTTCAATATGGCTTTTGAGCCAGTTTTCGGTACTTGGTGCCTTATTATACAGTCCCCTTATACAGCTTTTGGTCCTACTAGATTTTATTTGGGTTGAACATGTAGTAAAGATAAATAATATTATCATGTGCTTAAATTAAATAAAATGTACTATATATATATATATAATCTCTTAAGGCTATTTAGCGACATCTGCTCCCGGAATAATATTTCAATTTTACACAACTATGTTCTTCTATTTAGGATCGTGCACCTAGACATGGCCATATTACGGTTCCGGGAGCCGGAACCGTCGGTTCGAACCGGCCCGGAACCGGAACCGGTGAGAACCGAAACCGGGCGGAACCGGAATCAGAACCGAAAAATTTCGGTTCGATTCCGGTTCCAGAAAATTAGGAACCAGAACCGGCAGTTCCAGAGAACCAGTCGGAACCGGACTGGAACCGCCAACCAGTCGGAACCGTGGACTGGACCGCCGTTTGTTCTCCACGGTTAGAACCGTTGGTTCGCGGTTCGAGCCGTTGTAAACTGTCAGACCTGGTTTTTTTTTTTTTTTTTTTTTTAATTTTTGTTGTTAAATCTCTTTAATTACCCTCCCAACAAGCCATTTAAATGGCTTTACATAAGGCTAGTTTTGGGTATTTTTTGAAAAAATGAATTTTTTGATTTATTATAAAATACTTCATCTCTTAATTTAAATTCATTTTACAAAAAAATCTCAACTCTTCTACTTACTCTCGTCTAAACAATTATACTACACTCTACTCTATATTATTCATCCTTATTCTTTCTCTTTTACTTACAATCTTTCTTGTTAAGTTTATTATTCTCTCTTAATTTTTTTACATCAACCTTTCCAAAATTATACATCTTATTATCATCATAATAAGTGGAGGAAACTCAAATTCGGGTAAGGGCAAGGGAAAAATTGGAGAATCATCTATCCCTACAAACGACATCTATGATATGATTCCCGACCAATGTAATTTTGAGGGTTTTCCAAATGAAAATTTGGATATTCCAACTCAAGAATCCGAATTTAATGAGCAATTTTAAGAAGATGAAGAGCAAGAGCAAGAGCTACGAGCAAAAATTGTTACAAGAGCAAGATAAAGTTCCGACATATTCTCCATTCATTTCACAAAAAAATTCAAAGGTGAGAAAATGTACGATATAATTTGCAATTATGTAATTATGCAATTATGCTGGAAAAATCTTCATAAATTAACAAGCGGCGACTATGGATTCCTATTTTGGAAGCATTTTCTGGGTAGACAAAACATCAACAAAATAGAGGTTGATCGGTCCTCAACACAAATGTTTCGGGTAACGCTTCTAACCTTTCTTATTTAAATATTCCTGAAAAATACAAAAAGAAGAATTTAGCAAAAATGATCTCTTATGAACATTTATCTTTTAGTTTTCTGGTGAGAAAAAGTAGGTTTTAATAATTATTGTCAAAAAGCTTTAAATCCTTCTGCTAAAAGAGTACCAAGAAATACTGTAAAACGAACTATTATTTCTTTATCTAATAAAGGAAAAAAATAGTTAGAGCTTTTATTTTCTCAAATGAAAATTCGTGTTTCAATTTGTTGTGATGTTTGGAGTAGTGATCATTGGCAAATGCATTCTTGTATGGGTATTACATGTCATTGGATTGATGATGATTGAAAAATTCAAAAAAGAATTATTGGTTTTCGTGTTTTTGATGATAAACATACTGCAAATAATATATTTTATAGAGTACATTCGTTTCAATTTTAGTATGAATATAAGTTGACAAAAAAATTTTTCAATTTCATGTTGATAATGCTTCTGCAAATACTTAGATCAATTATTGAAACTTAAAAAAATTTTTGTGAACTCAAATATTCGGTGGAATTTTTTCATATAAGATGTGCATGCCAATGTTTTTAAATTTAATGCTGTTAGCAAGAGATGGTTTAAAAATTCTTCGAATCTTCTTATTCTCCAATTAAAAGAAGCTATTTCATATTTATGGCCACATCCTCAAGTGGATGACAAAGTTTTGGGCTACAAATTTTTGTTAAAGAAAATAATAAAAACAAACGTTTTCCAAGGGATTTGTCCCAACTCGTTGGACATTCAACATATGAAATTACTCAAACGAGTCTTCCTTTCTTTTATACAAGAATTATTATGGCTTTTTTGTTACTAATATACTTGAGGATATTAATTTATATCCACATAATTGGGTAGAATTTGTACAAAAATTTTAGATATTTTAAAAATTTTTAATGATGCTACCTATAAATTTAGTGGGGTTTATTATCCCACATCTCATTTATTTTTACCTGTGTATTAATATTGTTAATGCACTCCAAGAATTTCAAAATGATGATTTATTAAAAGATTGTATTTTTTCAATGAAAAAAAAATGGTTATCTTATTTTAAAAATATAGCACCCCTTTATCTTGTTGCTATTATATTTGATCCTAGATGTAGAATGGATGTTTTATGTGATTATTTGACTATTTATTATGAAGTATTGAATCTTGATGTAGAAGATAATGTTAATATAAATGTAGTAGAAGATAATGTTAATATAAATGTAGTAATGCATGAAGTTAAACAAAATATTATGCAATTATATAATGAATTTGTTCAAGTTTCTAGTTCATCTACTTTCTCAATCCGTAATATCTCAACAATTTCCAACACAAAGGGTAAATGGGTGTTTTGTGTTGCTCAACAAGTTTTACTACAATAAGACAAAAAGAACACGGGAATCCAAATTTACTTTCTGAATTTGATAATTATCTAACAACTTCTTTTGAGTTTGGTGATGATATGCAGATACTGTTTTCCAATTTTTAGATTGGTGACTCGTCACGCAAACACTTTTCCAATTCTTTTCTTTACTTGCAAAACAATTTTAAGGCAGCTCTGTCTCACTGTTGCGGTTG